GGGGAGAGAGAGATCCTTCCTTGCTAACTTTCCATGTGCATGTTCCCTCTCCTTACGACAGATTTTCTTTATCTCCTCCACTCCCCAAAAGCACATAACCTTCCTTCCCTGTACAACTTTCCACACTGGTAGAAATGAAAAGGTAGTAACGCCAGAATCTTTTTTATTTATTTCAAAAATCTCAAAAATAAAAACCACAGAGATTAACAGAAGCAGCGGGATACTCTTCGGCGTCAAATAGTTTTTGTTTTCATCTTTAAAGTCTTCATATCAGAGCCATTTTTCTTCTTCTTCTTCTTCTTCTTCTTCTTCTTCTTCTTCTTCTCCTCCTTCTTCTTCTCCTTCTCCTCCTCTTCCTTCTTCTTCTTCCTCTTCTCCTTCTTCAATAACCAGAAAATGACTTGGCTGTGATTCCTATATATACCTTCCCTATAAGCCCATCACTGAAAAACATACTTGACATGTATCATTCAAACACTCTCCTTTCGTTTAGTTTGAGTAAAGTTACAAGTAAAGAGAAACAAATCGACACAATAACAGTCATTTACAGTAGGCAAACAGAAAGTTAACAGATAGAAACAGGAGAGGGAACAATAACAGAAGTATAGGACCTATTATAACGGTGGCGCCCTCTAACCACCCACCCAGCGCTCTTTGCTGCTTCAGTTCCTGTAGATTCCTTTTACTTCATTCACCATGCACACACACGAGCATGCTTGTGCACGCACGCACATACAACACACAGACAGACATATAATGTATAATATACTATGTTAGAAGTCTTAGAGAAAAAGCTACTCGCCCTAAAGTCAAACATTATAAGATCCTTGTGTGCAGTGAGCTCTTGACAACATAATATTATAACAACACAACAATACCAACGAACGACTAAAATCCCCAGCGCATAAGAATATAACACACTTCAGCATACTACACATATAACACTCGTAAAGAGTTCGATTACAATATTCTGAATATTAAAGGTATTGATTTACAAAAGAACAAACAAACAAACTAGAAATATAACATTAAACATGTAGGTTTTCTGGCTTTTATCATTCTAATATTATCTTTAACTTATGTTTTTGGGGTATCTTTTTGTTTCTCGTTTGCTATTCATTAGCGACTGTTTACTATCAGAGGAGAAACTGCTTTGAAGTAATGAAATAACTACGTGTAAACCTTCAATATACACATTGTATTCTCATTATTGCCTTTTCGACCGTTCACACTTTCATTATGGAATAAAGTAGCTATTTTATTATTCTTTTTTAATTTACAGAAAAAAATCCCGACTGCAAAAGGACTCGCCATTTCTTCTCAAAGACCATCATCATCGTACTCCTCCTACCATTATAAAACAGACAACGTTTACTCTTGATTGACCAAAGACATCGTCGCCGTCGTGGTAAGATCAGATAAGTGACATTGGGTAATTTTTTTCAAATGAAAGAAAAAAATTCTTATTAAAAGGACAGCTTGGAGTTATCTAATTTTCATACAGTTAAAAATTCCACTTTGGGTTGTTTAGACTATTCGAGAATCTAAATGTTTAACCAGCATGAGACACACTTTGCCGAATGTGTTTCGCGAGAAAAAAAAACGAAGCAAAATTGAAAATGTTGTAGTTGACCGATTTCAACACGATGACGACGACATAATAGCATCATAATTAAATAAATCAGGCGTCTTTTTACACCTCGTATAAATACTTTGTGCGCAATAGATTTCGACCTAAAACAGCTAATAAGATACGAGCGGTAGGGATTTGTACGTGCGGGAGTAGATTAATTATGTAACGGGAAGAAAGGGATTGACCTCGCAACTTACAATCCCCCTCCCCCCCCCCTCTTCTCTCTTTCTCTGTCTGTCTGTCTGTCTGTCTCTCTCTCTCTCCTTAGTTGCAATCTAAAATTACAAATAAATCAAAGACCAAGACGATATTAGAAACCAAACAATCACAATTTCTTGAACTCCTGAGCTCAAATTGTTTCAATAGGCCTACACAAGTTGTAAAAGGCAATCAAAGGCCTATAGATCTAATTATAACGTATCTACCTAGGCCCTAGCCAAGCTAATTATTATTTACAAGCATACTTCAAAGGTAGTGGGAACAACATTAGAATACTAACCACACTGTTAACCCCACAGTGGTCAGATCTCACTTTCTTCGACAAACATCTAGATCTAGGCCTATACACACAAAAGGTAGCCAATGCCTAAAGCTGATGTCATGCCACACCTATGCCCTGCCGTTGCGTTATAAATAACACCTACCTCGTCCACTCCTGCCGACGAACCGCAAGTCGTTGAATTTAGCCACTTGATTTTTCATCGTAGCTGTGTTGTTCCTCAACTCCGAGCAAAAGTTTTCATCATTACCGGCAGTGATGCACACTTTCGTTCCATCTTTCACTCCCCCGAGAGCCACAACTTTGAAAGGAACAGGCAATGTTTTGTTTGATCTCCAATGTAAGGGTAGAACTGAACACAGAAAATTAGGGCTTCCAGTCTTGACAAGTTCATCTGGGTGGTCATTTAGGACACTGGTCAGAGGACGTTCCCCAGGCACAGCATCAACCTCAGACATGTTGTAAATGTTGTCTCGGTACGGTGAAAAACCGCTCAGATCTGCGGGTAAATGCATGTGTGGTTACTTGAGTTTCGTTCCTACAACTGATCGCGGTGCCTCGATCACATCAACACTGAATCCGCTGCCCAGATTTTCGTAGGCCGCGTTCGCCCGCGGGTGTTTACTCATAGGCCACAAAGCTGATCGGCCGCGAAGCCATGTGGGATTTTTTCCTGGTGAATGGGACAGGCCAGAGTGGTTTTGCGTAGTAGGCCACTCCCCCACGCTGACTCAACACTCCCAACTTCTTAACATAAATATCACTGCGCGCGACGGGCTCTGTGGCTCGCTGAAATTGGAGGTTTGACACAAACATAACAGTTGGTGGCTTTTGGTTAAACTCCACAAACCAAAACTATGTGGCTTTATCCAGTGACCAAGATATAATTGTAATCATGTTACTCTGGTTAAATGAAGCTGACGAAAGTTAAACCGATAGTATGCGATAATGAAGGGCCTATTTTGTTCTTGTGGACACATCACAACAAATACTAGATCTAAAGTGTTCTTCCGTTCAGTTCTAAATCTTGGTTTCGTTTCTGAACATTTCGATTTCACCTTTGTCGATAAAATTCGAGATATTTAATTTTCGGGTATTCTATCAGGTTAATAAAGAAAAATAGAATTTCTTTTCCGGCTGATAAGACACTAGCCTACTGGGTAAAATAGAAGTGTAAAACCTCCCCCCCCCCCCCCACTTTATAAAACACCCCCTCCCCTTTTTGTCCACCCGTTTCCTCCTCCCTCTAACGTGCTGTATATTATTATATAACCCCCACCGCTTTCCCCATCACGCCAATACTTTTAAGGCTTAAATGTATTCTTCTTCTTTTTGTTCTTCTTCTTTTTCGTTTTCTTCTTCTTGAAACAGCTATCGTTGCTTTGTTGTGTTTGTTATTGTAGCCCTATTTGTTAGTTGAAATTTTAAAATTCGTGTCAATATGCTTTGTAACTGACTCTTTGCTGCTTCTTGGTTTGTTTAAATTACATAGATCGATGTATTTATTTATTAATTTATTTATCTAGATCTATTTACAATTTGTTTATTCATTTTTTGGTTGTTGTTCCTGCTCAAAGTGAAAGTAGCATTATTTAAGGTGGTTTGGGATTATGAATATTGCGCATGCGCGAAAATAGATACACAAAGATGGCGACCATATTGACAGAAGCTCGTGATTGAAGGAATAGAGTTGAAGATATTGCACGTAAGCTGATATTGTTTGAAGACCTTTTTGGCGAGACGGATTAAACTATATATTTTTTTCTAAGAGTATCATTTGTGTATATCAATTAGCTGCAATTAAAACTCCACACTGTACACCAATGAGTGTTGTTTGCAATTCTGTGCAACAGTGAATGTAGGTCGAAAGTCATAGGTCATGTGCATATAGTCCGACATCGTTTGCATAGATAGTCATGTCTTGCTGCTCTGGCCTATCATTAAATTTTGTTGGTCTGCAAGCAGGCCTCAGTTCGTCTCTATCGTGATATCAGTGGTTTACTGTGGGCACAGTTTGGGTTTTCCCCACCGGATAGGGGTCACATGCCACAGAGAATGTTGACAACGTGTTATTTTTAACACGGGGGGCGGTGTAGCAAGTGAAACTTAAAAACTTGCTGGCTGAAACCGAAATTACGATTTTGATTTGTGTAGCGCTAAAACGCCCCCGACTAACCACGGAATTTTGATCAACACTTAAATTAGATTTAGATATAGATTCTAGATTTAGATCTAGAATCTAGATATCTAGATCTAAATATATAGATCTATATATGTTTCCGTTTCACTTGTATTTTATACTTAGTATTTGGGGGGGGTGGTAAGGGGGGGGGGTCGAAGATGAGAGAAGAAGAGGGGGAAAGGACGTTGTCGTGACCTTGTAATCATTATAACTTGGCTCAACTTTAAACTGCCTTTTTAAAATTAAGTTTTTGGGGGTGATGATAAAGAATACGTTATTGAAATACCCATAAGTCATCAAATAGATGATCTATGATTATGCTAAGAGCTACCGCAGGGCGCCTACATTACGGCCACACCCCTTTTTGAGGACGAATGTAGCCTACATGTGCAGATCAAGTCGTTCTGCCCTGTTTATCATGTTTGCCTCGAATGTACTCATTGACCGGTCTTTTTAAAGTCTAATCCCGACTGTATACTATGTTTGATGAGGTCTGTCTCTGAGTGTAGTGTACTTTCTTTTCTACCGCGTGCCGTTTGGTTAGTTATAGATTTTTTTTCAGCTCCCTATGTTTTGTTTCACAAATATGCGAGGAATTGGGTAATATCCTTGAGTCGGCGAAACGCGATCCATTGTGCTACACCGCCCACGGGAGTGCCGGTCGGTCGCGGTCCGTGGCCAGCCAGCAAGGCCTTCACATTCCTGCACCTACTTCAGTTCAAGACCGCAGATTGTGACTCATCCTTTTTTTTTTCTTTGTGTGGCGAGCTGTCGGTTCTGCTTGCAGGCTTTTTGGTTAACCCAACACCAGCTAGATTCTACTTCATTTTGTTTCCCTCATAACAAGCTCAGTTTTCTGCTGTGTTTTGAAGCATGTCTAGTCCTATTTGTTTGTTTTTCGTAAGTTTGGCCTCAGTAAAGTCACGAAAGTTTCGCCCCAGTAAAGTCACAGACACCACCCCCCTCCCCCTCCCACACACACACACTCCCCTTTCCCAGTAATTCCACACTTAGAACACACCAAGGCAAAAGATGTACCACTCTGGCATGCTTACTAATGCTACCGGTATGACCTTGTAAACTGATGGAATTGCTGTTAGACCTACACTTCTGATAGGCTAATAGGCTTGATGAGTAATTCACAAGGGAATGCTCCTATGAGTCAGTACCAGATGGAACACATAGGAAAGTAACAGAAAGTTATAGCAGAGAAAAGAAGATAGAAAATAGTATATTGTGTAGCCCACTGTGCAGGTACATAATTTTCACTAAAGTGGTTCCTCCATTTGTCTGTAACTGCACCCTTTTTAATTTATTTTATTTAACTACATGAATTTGAAACTATGATGAATGTCACATTATTAATTGTAAAATGAGCAAACTATTTATAGCTAAGTGTTGCTTTCAAATAATTAGATCTTATCGCTCCAGAAGAAATGGACACCGGTAACAAAAAAAAGAAATTATAGATTGTGAAATAATTTCCGAACTGTCCGTCTTTTGTTCCTAATTATCTGTCTTACTATTTATTTTCTAACACTAGCGACAGTTTTTGTACAGGTCTTCCTGTCTTAAACTTTAACCCTACAAAAATATCAGTACTTTAAATTCAGCATTAGTTCAAGATGCTTTTCCCCATTTTGTAATTTCAGAAAAGTAAAAAGAAAAGTTTATAAAGTACGGTAGGGCTCAGATGACCAGAAACCGGAAAACTCTAAAACACAGTTGGCTTGCACAATTTGCCATACTGCAACTGATATCTCTTTAATTTGTCGTAATCGGTTAACTTGAATTATGGATTGGATGTGTTGAACACATTTGTCAACCCCCAACATGTCTGAGCTATCCTTGCCTAACTGTATGTCTTTTCATTCATTGTGGTTAATTGCTTCTTGTTCCGCAAATGTTCTTTTTTTTTTTTTAACCGAATATCTGAAGTGAGCCAGCAATAACATTTTAAAAAATTCTATCTAAGTAGAACTTTATTGGTCAATAGGTAGAAATGACACCGACTTTTCTGTTAACAGTAGGTAAACCTGAATCTATAATTTAAAGTTATAAACAGTATTATGTTACTAGCGGTCGCTAAACTATGAGCAGCTTGGTGTCAGTTCTCTATTTCCTTTACTTGAGATTGATACTTTTAGTATTCTTTTGTATAAGTGCACATTCGAGCATAAACAACTTTGTTGAATGACTTCTGGACTTTAAAAAAAAATCTGTTTCAGATTCAATTTATTAATATTAGCCTATATTATGGAGAATCAAGGATTGCTTTCCACAAGTGATCACGATTTTGGTGTCCAATTTGTAATTTTAACAAATTAGATTTATTCATAGAATTCATAAAGCAAATTAAAACTAGAAAAGATTTGAAAAGTGACCAAAAAATATGTTCATGTATTTTTCTATGTAATTGAAATACTATGTTATTCAAGATGAGTCAACCAAGTACTGTTTAATGCAAAATTATTTAATTTATAATTGGCATTAATTGTACTAATATTATTATTATTATCTTTATTATTATAATATTATTGGTGTTATATTATTGTTATTTTTATTACAATTATTTGGATGGCTATTTCAATAACTTTTAGTTGTCTCGTGTGTTATCGTTATATTATACACCAAATATTTGTCTAAAAGCAAGTGTATGGGTGGTTGGCGGGTGCTGTGGTGTGGTTTGCTCCTTCTTTTCTATCTAACATCTATCTTCCTTATCTCTCCTCCTTCTTTTTTGTGTTTGTTACTCTCTAGTAACACCTCTAATCTTCGGCACTTATATGACCTTATTGTGTTTCAAGTGCCATAAAACACTTACTTAAACAAAGCAAGAAAAAAAAGCAGTGTGATAGTTAGTCATGTATATTTCCCAATTTACATCATGTTTGTATCACATTGTATATTATATATATTATGCACACTGTATTGCGCTGCGACTAGCAATTCTCTCTTAAAAGTGTCCCTTTTCTGATTGAGTCTTGCGTTTGTTATATATTAAGTTCATGTATAATATGAAACTCCCTCTTCAGTGCTACTCAAACAAACTCTCCTGTGTATACATCTATGCAGACATTCCTTTACAGTTTTACAGAGTGCTTTAAATGATTAAAGACTTATCTCTGTTTTAGCCCACCTCTTTCACTACATGTATTAATTTCCCCTTGCTCTCTCTCTCTCTCTCTCTCTCTCTCTCTCTCTCTCTCTCTCTCTCTCTCTCTCTCTCTATATATATATAATATATATATCCCCTCTCTCTCCCTCGTTCCCTCTTTCTCTCTCTATCTCTCTCTCTTCCCACCCCCTCTCTCCCTCCCTCTCTCTCTCTCTCTCTCTCTCTCTTTCTCTCTCTCACACACACACACACACTGACAAACACCCCTCCCTCCCACACACACACACAGACACACCAACAAACCGACATAGAATCAGCCCGACAAACCCACACGACCTAAAACAATTCCACCTTTGAAACCGACACTTTATCTCTCTCCCTCCCCTCCTCCTCTCCTCTCCTCTCCTCTCTCTCTCTCTCTC